ATCATCCCCAAGGAATTAAAAGAATCAGACCACAGTAATATATGTGCACCCATGTTCATAGCAGCATAGTTTGTAATAGCTAAAACTTGGAAACAGCCCAATTGCCCATCAACTGGAGACTGGATAAAGAAAATGTGGGATTTTTAAAAAATGAAATGGAGTACTACTCAGCCATAAAAAATGAAAAATTAGAGACATTTATAGCTAACTGGATGCACATTGAGGTGATACTCTTGAGTGAAATAAATAGAACACATATGTGTAAATACCGAATAGTTTCTCTAGTGTGAGAAACTGAAAATGTAAATAAGGACTAAAAGGTATAATAGATAATGTGAAATAGGAAGAAAAGGGGCAAAAGGGAAGGAGAAGTGGGAAGGGGAGGGGAAAAAAAGGAGGGAATAGAGAAAATGAAAAACTGGAAACAAAGTCTTTGTAAATAGGGAGGGATAGATGGCTTGAAGGGAGGGCAGGGGAATGGGGAAAAAATAAGAACCAAGAGAGATTATATAAAGGTGCAAATTTCCAATGATGGATGTTATTATGTTGTATACCTAAAATGCACCAATAAAATAAAATTTTTAAAAAAGGTGCAGAGGGAACACAGACCTGAGGGGGTGTTGCTCCCTACCAGACCCAGGTCCAGGGGTGAGTGTACTCATGTGTCTGCAGACAGATGTATGAAACTGAATGCACACACACACATATACATACACACATGTTCATAAGGATGCCTATCTCCACATGTCTGTGCCTGTGTCTCCACATGTGATGTGTGTATCCATGCAAGTATGTGCATCCACATATGTCTGGCCTGTGTCTCCACACGTTTGTGTGCCTGCCCATGTGTGTGTCTGTAGTGCATGTCTATAACACTCTCCTCTCCGTGTGGCACCCAGACCAGGCCAGGGTGTATTATTTCTAATCTGCTACTTATCCACCTTGACCATGACCGAGCTTGGAAAATAGCATTGCCGCTAGGAACATGCCAGCTGGGTTTTCAAAGCACAGGGCTTTCCCCTGCCCAATGGTGACTGGGTCCACCTGAAAACCCACACAAAGCACCCTTATTCCAAGCCCCCAGGCAGGGACATCTGCCTCATGGCCACTACCCAAAAGAAAACAAAGCCACGCAGACTGGAGGTCCAGGATACACATTCCCAAGAGGCCAGCAGCCTGACCGGACTGTGACCTGCATGTTCGGAGAGACCATCATCCTCACATGTCATGACCTAAAGAAACTTGAGGGTAAAATTCAATCCTTTTCATCCCAGCAGGAGCTGATGGCCAGCTCCAGGTGCGCTTGCTGGCCTCAGACTTTAGAACATCTCCCACTAGCTACTGAGGAGGCTGCCAGTAGCCCATGTCCCAACCCCAGCAAAGCATCCCACAGCTATCCTTGGCCATCATACAGCTTTGAAAGTGGGAGACAGAAAATGTAGTGGGAGGAGCTGCCAGGCCAGGCTCTGACAGCTCAGTGAAGCAGGGGGATGGGGGGACCTAGGTGCTTGAGCGGTGGCCCCTCAACCCTGTGAAGCTGCATGGAGCCCCCTTCCTCCCTCCCACCCTCGAAGTCACACAATGACACGCTTCAATGGCGCACAGCCGGGGCCTCTGGTTTTCGTTCTGTGTGACCTGGGGAGGCCAAGAACGTGATCAGAGCTGTCTGAATGCAGTGCCCTGGGGAGATTACTCAGGCACCTGCCCAGCCCCCTCCCCAGGCCCCTGCCCAGCGATGCTCCACTCAGGCAGCCCACTTGTCCAGGCAGACAGCTGGTGGGCCCAGCGGAGCCGTGCCCCACAGCCCTGGGGCCCCACCAGGCTCATCCTCTTATCCCCACGACTTCCCTGGGCAGCCCCCGGGTGCCCCACTGGAAAGCGGGTGCCAGGGCAGCCTGCTCAGTCAGCCCCACTCTGTTATGTCAGCTGTTACCCTGTGCTTAAAATAAGGCGCTCCAGCTGGCCAGGGTCAGATGTAAAAACAAGGACCTAACAAAACCCGGCCCCTCAGCTACCCTGAACTGGAGACCCCCACCGAACGTGGCACTTACTGACAAGGCTCTCTCCAGCCCTCGGGCAGAGCATAAAGGAAACACCTGTCCCCACGGCCGGCACACTCTAATCCCACTAAACCCCAGTGCAGAAGCTGAAGGGCCCCACAGCAGGCACCCCCGCCCCAGGTCTGACTTTTGTCCTGGGCCTAAGGGAAGACGATGGCAAGGAAAGCAGGAGAGAAAAACAGGAAGTGCCAGGGAGCTGAGTCCGCCTCATGCAGACATGCTTTCCAGCCAGTCCTTCAAGGCCAAGAACAAAGTGCCCGTGGGACTATGAGCAGCCTGGGTATACATGAAGGCTGCCTACCCTACCCAGAGCCCTCCACCCCTATAGGGCTGTCACTCGCCAGAAGGATGGGGGGCTCCTGCGTCAGCTCCAGAAAGCCCTTTCTGCTGACACAGGTGCTCCACAGTTACACTATCTTGGACCTGGGCCCCCAAAGAGACAGCAGCACCCCATGTTCAACCCCAATGGTGCCTGCGCTGGAACCCAGGCTGACACCAGCTCTCATTACCAACCTGGAGCTGATCATCACAATTTCTGAAAAGACGAAGAAAAGAGAAGGGGGTGAGATGGGGAAAGCAGAGAATGTGAGACCACTGAGGACCTGATGGTCTCGGGAGAGGGACCTGGAAACCACGCACACAAGCACACATGTGCCGTGACACACATGCCCTGCACACCAGGTGCTGGAAGGGCAGTCTGGGGCCTATGCAGGTCCTAGGGTTCCCAGCTACCTGCCTCTCCCCAGAGGGATGGGACATCCCAGCACCTCCCCTATTCCCTTGGCCAGCGGTA